ACACTGTTGGCAACCCTACAGAGTCAGAGTTTGAAAGTGAGAGTTGGAACTTGACCTCTGAGTGTGCTGGAGGAAGCCAGCAAAATGATTTAGAAAGAATAATAGCATCAGAATGGCAGGAAGTGAGTACACTTCTGTTGGCTGGAGGATCTCAGTTGAAGTGTTTGGGGCAGACCGACTGGAAATGATGCTATGTCAGGGACCATGTTTGAAAGCCTAAAATCTAAGTTGACAGGAGGTATTCCATGGAGGCTCTGGGAAAGAGGGACTCGAAGGCAGATCCCACACCGTGGACTAGTAAGGTCTCACTCTGTCACCCAGGCTGGAGTGCAGTGGCACTGTCTCAGCTCACTGCAGCCTCAACCTCCTGGGCTCAAACATTCCTCCCACCTCAGCCCTCTGAACAGCTGGGACCACAGGTGCATGCCACCATACACAGCTAATTTTTGTACTTTTTGTGCAGACATGGTTTCACCATGTTGCCCAGGCTGGCTTCGAACTCCTGAGCTCAAGCAGTCTGCCTCAGCTTCCCGAAGTGCTGGAGGTGTTTTATGGATTGTGTACTATTCGATTGTACCCTGTGAAAGTGACCCACCACAATGACCTGTTTTCCTGAGCGACTCTAGAGAGAGAGCAGGAGGGGCTGGTTGCTCCTGTGGGGCTAGAAAGGCAGAGGAGAGAGTTGGAACAAAATTGGGCAGTGGCCTCTGTGCTTCCTGGCTGCCCAGCCCCGAGCCTCCTCTCTGTGGGAACCAGGAGACACACACACTGTTTGAAAATGGCTCTTCCCACAGTCAGACACCACTGGCCAGCTGGGACCTCCCCTCCTGCTGAAAAATGCTCTCCCTTGCAGCGCCCACTAGGAAACCTAGAAGGCCAAACTATTTATGACAGTGTTGCCTTAAAATGTGCTCAGACACCATATTTTATAAAGTTTCTGTCTCTTCTTCTTTCCACTAAGAAGGGAGAAAAAGGAAAAACATTCCCGGGCACCCTTGTCCACCTCCTCAGTTGGAAGTGCAATAAAAAGATTCTTCTGGCTGGGCATGGTGGCTCACGCCTGTAATCCCAGCACTTTGGGTGGACAAGGCAGATGGCTCACTTGTGGCCAAGAATTCTAGACCAGCCTGGCCAACATAGTGAAACCCTGTCTCTACTAAAAATACAAAAATTAGCCCAGCATAGTGGCGCACACCTGTAATCCCAGCTACTCCGAAGGCTGAGGCAGGAAAATCACTTGAACCCAGGAGGCAGAGGCTGCAGTGAGCCGTGTTGCGCCACTGCACTCCAGTCTGGGCAACAGAGCCACACGTCATCTCAAAAACTAAAAATAAAAAATAATCTTCTTCTCTCTAGTGTTCGCATGTCTCTCAAGACACTCTCCCACTGCCTGGGTGCCCAAACTTGTGTTTATTCCCTTCCCATTCACTACCCTTAACCTCTCAGGTATTAGGTAAATCCAATGTCTTGGGAAAAAGTGGCTAAAAAGAGGAAATAACAGTTTTCTTTCTAACAAAAATATGAAACCATCTAAGAAGAAAAAAATGAAATAGGCTCATCTTTTTCATAGTGTGCAGAGTAAAAGCCATCTTTCCAAAAAAAAAATTCTTTGAAAACCATGATTTTCAAAGTTCTTATAGCTGAGAATACTATTTTTTAAATACAAGTTGAGTATCCCTAATCCAAAATCCAAACTGCACCAAAATCTGGAGCTTCTTGAGCCCTAACATAACACTCAAAGGGATGTTCAACTTACTGGTTGGGCAGCCCTATAATGCAAATATTCCAAAATCCTAAAATAGCTGAAGTCCAAAACACTCCTGATCATAAGCATTTCAGAGAAGGGATACGCACCCTGAATTAACACATTGCATTCCATTTAGTTGTTGTTTATAAAATAAAAACTAGCCCAAGCCTTGCTGAGCGGGCATATCTTGATTGTCCAGTTATTGTTGCAGAGGTACATTGTAATGCCGGGTCTGCAGGTCAGCCTGTGCAGGTTCTGGTTTACGGATGGCTGGAAAAGAGCTAGTCCCATTCCAGTTGTCATTGTCAGCCAAGTGCATTGTTGAAATAGCCTGCTTTCCTGGCAGAGCAACCATTGGTATGTTTCCACTTGGCCCAGTGCGTGGAATTGTTTTCATATGCTCCCCGTGCTTTGAGAGGTCTGGGGAGAAGAAAACATGAGAAGGAAGAAGAGGAGTAGGGAAGAGCGGAGGGTCACAGACAGGAAAAGGGGGAGAGCGAGAGGGAGCCTGACCATGTGGGTCTGCTAGGGCCCTGCATGGGCCAGTTTATACCCTGTCCCTGGCCCCAAATGCCCAAGAAACAGGCTGCCTCAGGGGGCGCTACATGTTGAGGTTCACATCACCAAATCTGTGTCCGAGGCTTGGACCAGGCTTTGGAAAAATGACCCAGTGGCCAATTAAACTTTCCATTGGCAGAGATTGTATGAAAACTTTTTTTTTAGTGAAATCTTTCCATTTGAGTAGTCTATTTTTTAATGAAACATGTACTGACATGTGCTCTGTGGAGCAATAGGAGAGTGATTAATTAAACTCTGTGCTGCCATTTTGGATGGAGGCACTCAGAGCCAGAATCAGGCATTAGGAGGTGTTTCAGGCTCTGTAACCACCCCAGAAGGATCTGTCAGGCCCTTCTGCCTGTTTTCCCTCCCATTCCTGCGGGCTGCTGGCAGAGACAGAGAAACGGGAGATTTCTGCAGGTCCAAGCTCTGTCATTTCTGAAAAATGAAACCAAGGACTGTACTAAAAGATGCAGCAAGGCAGACGCTTCTTTGGAGAACGCCAATTCTGCTACATGATTACCTGTACACCCTTCCTTCCTAATCTTTCTGGGCAATATGTATGAAGAAATAAAAACAGTAAATAGCCTCATAATCACTTCAGGTTTTGTGACCAAATGAGGTCAATTCAGATCAGTTCTGCAGTCAAGTGAGTTACAAAAACTTGATGGTGTTCAGAGCTTGTTGGATTGTGGAACTGTGGATAAGGAAACGCTGGCCTCTGCCTGCATTTGTCTAGAGCCCAAGGAGAAGGCTGTCTTGCATTCCCGAGCAGCTCCACTTCCTCCCTTGCTTCCAGCTCCCCTCCCCCTCCCGCATTTTCAGCAGCTGGAGGAGGATGTAGGCTAATTAGCCGCAGCCTTGCCCCTCCCTCCGCACAGGCAACTGAGGAAGTCCTGGTAAAAGCATGGCACAGAGGCAGGGACCCCGACTCCTTCACCAAACCTCTCTCCCTAAAATAAGGGGTCGTCTTGACACATGAGTGAGGTTATTTTACAATAATTGCATTGAAGGCCTACTTCAGTACAGCAGAAATAATACAGAATTTTTATCACCTTAAGAAGTGATAATGGCAGAGAATAAGAAAGCATCCTGAAAAGGCCTGGAGAGATATGGGATTGCCGGGCTGTGGTTGACAGTCAGGAGCAGCCAGGATACACTCTGTTCCACAAGGAACAACACGACCAAGAGGACTGGCAACAGACCCAGAAGTCCAAGTGTTCCCTGTCCAGGGGGACAGGCTGTGCTCTGGCCCAGCGCCTCTGGCTGGGCTGACAGGTTTCTAGCTAGCAGCTCGCCACCTCCCCCAGATGTAAAGGGAGGTCCATGCATGTGTTATGTGCTCCTGCTGGCTGGAGCCCTGGGAGATAAGGGAAGAAATCTTGGTTTCTATATGGCTTGACATTGGGTTCTTGCTCCTGCAAATTAACCAGGTCAGAAATTGGGGAGGATTCCCGATTACAGCCTCACTGGCCAGGAAGCAACCAAAACATAGCACAGTTTGACAGGGGAGATGGCAGAAGGTGATATAACGAAAAGAGGGAGCAAAACTGGAGAATAGTGGCTGGCAATAGTTGGGAAGAGGACAGGACATTGGCCACCCGCTAAGTATGGTAGTTCCTGTAATGTTAAGGCAGCCAGCTGCAGGAGGCCGCACTCTCTAGGGAGTTAGCGATCTGTCTTCTGTTAGTGCTATGCAGCCCAGTGTTTCAACGTGAGGCAGCTCCCGCAGAGTCAGGAGAGCCTCAAATGATGGATGGCCTGGCTGAGGTCATCAGTAGAGACAGGCCGAAGACATGCTCTGTCTCCCCATCAGATTCACCAAACCTCAGGGCACTGTGGGGTCGCAGGGCCAGACAGTCCCCAGCCATGCTGGCATGGTGGCAGATCTCTGACAGTGGGGAACCAAGTGTTTGCCCAGGCATGAGGAAAGCAAATTTACGAAGTTCATAAATGGAGTTTATCAATGCTATAAACAAGGGGCAGCGTGCTTTCATTCTGTGCGATTTTTTGTCTGCTTTATTCATATATTTTTCTCAGCTTAATTGAAGTATAATTTACACACAATAAAATTTAACAATTTTAAGAATGCAGTTTATTGAGTTTTCACAAACACAAACAGTCACTCCACCAGGCACATGATACAGAAGAGGGTTGGCAGATCTGGCTCCCAACCTTTATTTGTTTTGTACGTTTTTGAAGGGTTGTTAAAAAGAAAAAGACAGGGATCATACGTGACCCGCAAAGCCAAAAATATTTATTGTCTGGCCTTTTACAGAAAAAGTTTGTTGACCTGTTGACCCTGACACAGAACCTTCCCATCCCCCTTGGAGTTCCCTCTGGCCCCTCTGCGGGGATTGCTTCTGTCCCCCAGCAGCCACTGATCTGCTTTCTATAGATGTAATTGTGCCTTTTCTAGAATCTCGTATAAATGAACTCGTATAGTATGTTGCCTTTTGTCTCTGGCTTCCTTCACTTATGCTTTTGAGATTCATCCTCTGGGTTTCTGCATGTCTCAGTTCTGCACTCCTTCTTACTCCTGAGCACCATGGCAGGGTTTGACTCCTGGGGGAGGTCGGGGCTCTCCACATGTTTTAGCCACCTGCAGATGCAAAGAAGAAAGGGGAGCTGCCAGTGTGGCCCGTCAGGGCCTGGAGCCCCGGGGTGCCCACTCTCATTGCTCTTGTCTTTGCAGGCATGAACAACCGGGAGGTGCTGGAGCAGGTGGAGCGAGGCTACAGGATGCCCTGCCCTCAGGACTGCCCCATCTCTCTGCATGAGCTCATGATCCACTGCTGGAAAAAGGACCCTGAAGAACGCCCCACTTTTGAGTACTTGCAGGGCTTCCTGGAAGACTACTTTACCGCCACAGAACCCCAGTACCAACCTGGTGAAAACCTGTAAGGCCCGGGTCTGCAGAGAGAGGCCTTGTCCCAGAGGCTGCCCCACCCCTCCCCATTAGCTTTCAATTCCGTAGCCAGCTGCTCCCCAGCAGTGGAACCGCCCAGGATCAGATTGCATGTGACTCTGAAGCTGACGAACTTCCATGGCCCTCATTAATGACACTTGTCCCCAAATCCGAACCTCCTCTGTGAAGCATTTGAGACAGAACCTTGTTAATTCTCAGACTTTGGAAAATGCATTGTATTGATGTTATGTAAAAGGCCATACCTCTGTTCAGTGTAAATAGTTACTCCAGTGCCAACAATCCTAGTGCTTTCCTTTTTTAAAAATGCAAATCCTATGTGATTTTAACTCTGTCTTCACCTGATTCAACTAAAAAAAAAAGTATTATTTTCCAAAAGTGGCCTCTTTGTCTAAAACAATAAAATTTTTTTTCATGTTTTAACAAAAACCAATCAGGACAGATGTTTTTGTTTTCTTTTTTATAAACATGAATATATATAATAGATATGTCTCTGTACATATACAATGTGGGTGCTAACGTGGAGACTGTGGCCAGCCTGGGCCACCAAGCTGTGGGACCCAGAGGGAGGACTTTACTGCCAGTCAGCATCAAAGCACTGGTGTCATTCTGAAAACACCAGCGGCCTCATTTTTGGCTTTTGCAAAACATGACTTTTTTCATTTGGATTGCGCTTTTCTGGTTCACGACTGTACCTGTAGATGCTTGTTTTCTTTGACTCTTTTCAGGAACCGACCCCCAAGCTGAATTTACAAGTTCTGTTACCAGTATTTGCTTCAGCTTACTGCGATTTGGTCTCAAAACTTAAACATAAGCAAGCAAATGGCTGATACGACCAGGAGAACTGGAAGATGGATACCACACAAACTTCTTGTATAAAAATATGAATGCTGAAATGTTTCAGACATTTTTAATTTAATAAACCTGTAACCACATTTAAATGGTCTAAAACCCATAGCATTGTAGTCATGCCAACCTGCTAAACTTTCTCATGCAACTAAAATTTATGGGGGAAATGAGGGTGGGGGCTGTACATTTCCTATTGTAAAATAAGTGTTTTAAATGTCCTGTACTGCTAATGAATGACTTCTATATGTCCAAGAGTTCTCCAGTGGAATAACTATGCACTACTTTACATTTCATGGGGATGCACAGAAACAGAGTATTACATTTTTAGTTGCTGTTTGTACCAACCTTGAATTACATATGTTTAACAACAACAAATCAAAAATCCTATTTCTATTGAGTTTTTAATACTGACTAGCAACTCTGAAGTCTTAATTCCTTTTTTGTTATGATTTATTTGTGAGTTTACATTTTTAAATTGTTTAACTTTCTTAATTTAGTAATTAAAAAGAGAGCATTTTACATTTGAATTTTTTTTTTTTGTTTATTTGTTTAAATCATGGAAGTGCTCTGGTAGTTCTGTGACACATCTGTCCCACGCCAGATGGTATGGAGTCACCTGGTGAATTTAGCCTTTGTGCGATGATTTGCAAATGACAGAAACATTCAGAACATCTGGAGTTTTTTCCGTCTAGAAAGGGTAGGCTCTTGACCAGCTATTTCAGAGGATCATTAAAGCAAAAGCAGGCATAGCTTACCATTTGAATTTATCAGACATTTTCTCCAACTGGAATTTACTGTGTCCTGCTTGTAGGAGAAATAGACAATCACAAGAAGAATCTTTCTTGTCTCGGAGTCAGTACATGTATTTCCAAATGTCCCTCCACTCTGTAATCAAGGAGTTAACCGAGCGACAACCTTGTGTGGTAGGAAGGGCAGTGAGTGAACGCAGGCTGCCTGTCCACACCTGGCTCTCTGACCATTCAGCTTCAGGACCCCGCGCCCCTCTCCTAGCATCTGTCATTTTCAGGGCCTGTCTATATAACTGAGGGGGTTGGATGAGATTCATTCCTCAGGTCCCTAGAGCTCTAAGATCCTGTGATTGTAAGATCACCGATGCCATGTAGGGAGGATGGTTTTCCTGGTTGAAATAAATTTTACATTTAGGGAGGGCTTCCAACATTAAAAAAAAAAATGAAACATGTTTTCTGATTACTCAAAACTTTATGGCATTGTTTTTAGTATTAATAGACTTGCTAAACATAAAATTTTAAAGATCTTATTACATACATTATTATCACATTAGGTAGTTGATTAACATATTCTAGATATTTTTAAAGATAACTTTGCTTTTAATCCTGACACCCCACTAGGTTGGATAATTTGCAAATATTTCTGGAAGATTTTTATGTTTTGATTCATTCAAAACTATATGATTTAAAAAAAAAAAACTGTTTTAAATAGAAATTCTTTAAAAAAAAAAAAAAGGCTCTTCAAACCAAAGTATAGCCTTTTTATCAGTTGAGTTCATGATGGACTCTCTTATATGAAAGAAAACTAAGGACTTGGGTCACCTCAAGGGCTCTCTTAGGAAACACAGCGTGCTGTAGAGTGAGGTTATAAATCCAAAGATGGCAGAGACTTTCAGGTTTTTTATTCCAAGAGGTGAATGTGCTTTCAAGAGATATTCCTGAGGTAGACCATACCAGAGAGTCCCACACCTCCCAAGAAGCCTCTCCTCCTTATACGTTGTACAAGCTTAGGGTGAGGAAACTGAATTTGCTGACCAGAAAGTTCTCCTGTTAAGAAAGAAAAGCATCGCCTTAATGTCAGGTGATGGCAAGACAGTTTTTGTCATTAGTAACCAGCCAGTGAATAAATATTTGCTTTGTTCCCTTAGGAAAGCTGGCATCTAACACTCCTCTGCTGAAAAGGGAGCCTTCCTAATAAACTATTACCTTTTTTTTTTTTTTTTTTTTTTTGAGACAGAGTATCCCTCTTATTGCCTAGATTGGAGTGCAATGGCACGATGTTGGCTCACCACAACCTCTGCCTCCTGGGTTCAAGTGATTCTCCTGCCCCAGCTTCCCAAGTAGCTGGGATTACAGGCATGCACCACCATGCCTGGCTAATTTTGTATTTTTAGTAGAGACGGGATTTCTCCCTGTTGATCAGGCTGGTCTTGAACTCCTGATCTCAGATGATCCACCTGCCACAGCCTCCCAAAGTGCTGGGATTACAGGAGTGAGCTACCATGCCCTTCCAAACTATTGCTTTTTACTTTTTTTTTTTTTTTTTTTTTTTTTTTTTTTTTGAGATAGGGTCTTGCTCTATTGCCCAGGCTGGAATGCAGTGGTGCAAACATGGTTAACTGCAGCCTCAACAGCGTGGGCTCAAGTGATCCTCCCAACCACACACCAACTAATTTTTGTTAGGATTTTTTTTTTTTTTTGTCTTTTTGGTTGTTTTTCCTTTTTGTGGAGTATGGGTTCTTGCTATATTGCCCAGGCAAGTCTCAAACTCCTGGGCTCAAGCTATCCTCCCGCCTCTGCCTCCCTAAGAGTTGGTTTACAGGCATGAACCACAGCGCCCGGCCTGTCATGATTATTTTTTGTAGAGACTGGAGTCTTGCCATGTTGCCCAAGCTGGTCTGGAACTCCTGGGTTCAAGCAATCCTCCAGCCTTGACCTCCCAAAGTGTTGGGATTACAGACAAGAGCTACTGCGCCCACCTCTTTAACTCTTTTTACCTTTTAAAAATCAAATAACAAGCCTATTGGAGAAGACCATTTGCAAAGTTCAGATATTGTAACTGTGATAAAAGGATTTCTGTTCATCCCATTCTCTGCAGCCCCTGATCTCCTCTGATGATCAGTTCACAGGCTGGGAGGACCAGAGAGCCTAGGAGACAGAGGGCCCTGTGCTTTAGAATATCAGAGTAGATAGAGGCAAATGATGCACTTGGCTCTGCCATAGTCTTTACACAGAAAGGTGTATGCAGAACCAGGCATTTCCATGAGAAAAGTTAAGGGCAAATGTAATCCCTCAAACACAGCCACACTGTTGAAGATTTCCTTGCAAGCTCCAGGAGGTGTTTACCTGCCATGAGAAAGATAGGAATTCCTCCTGTGGCTGTGTTGGCACCGGAGGATTTTATAGTAGCATTAGCATGGCAAAATATTACCTGCAATTTCCCAGGGGGTCTTAAGAATGTATACTGTGTTAATTGCAATGGTTCTTTTATGAATCTTGAAAGAAAGTATGGTTTTCAGCAACAGGCAGAAGAGAATTGTACTACAGCCCCCTGCAAAAGGGATGTCATCTGTTTATTAGTCATGACTCAGAACAAAGTCATGTGATAGGCATTTCCTAACAAATTGTATGGGAATAAAAATGTTCTTTGATCAGTTTGTTCCTGAAAGGTATTTTAATAGGTTTAGATGACTTTTGTTGACCTTCTTACGACTATGTATTATACAGTACTATTGGAATTCAATTAGGCTGTCAAAAATATTTGTTAGAAGGGAGGAAGGAGACTGGCTTTGATTTGGGGGCAGGGGAAGGAAGCTTAAACACATTTTTATTCTAAAAATGGTAGAGAGAGGTATAGATTACTAAAGCAATTGCCAATTGTATATTTGTTCTTTAATTCTCAAAAATAGCTTATATCTATGGAGAAGAAAATAATGAAAAGTAATACCTTTACTGTATTTGAACTGTGTAGACCTTCATAATTTATATACACCTCTATTCCCAGAAAGTTTTCATACATAATAAACTCCTAAATCATACCTCATTCTTTCTAAACATGCAAAATATTCAGAATCCTATGGAAGGAAAAATATACCTTTATTCTAAAAATTAATTCTGAGCACTGAAAATAAAAATAAATGGTTTTCCAGTGTTGCAAGGATCATGCTAACAAAATATAATCAGTGACAAATGACTGCTTCCTCGACAGCCAGAACACTGTGCTCTCCATACGGCTTACTACTCTCTAATAACGTGTTTAATGCCACCAATGTGTTTAATACTGCTCTCCTTCTAATGTGTTTGCCCTGCCAGATTGTGAGCCTGAGAACAGAAACTTCCTGACTGGTTCACCATTATTCTCCCTGCACCTAGAACAGTGATGAGCTTCTGGCAGATGTTGGCTGGATGGATGGATGGACTGTTACGTGGATGAGGCTGTCCAGTGGGGTGAATGGTTTACCTTCAAATGGCATATTTACCTAAGAACCTGCTAAGCACATGGGACTGGGTGCATGCTGCCCGCAATGCCAGCCCTGTGCATTATGAATGTGTGGTCACCAGTGTTCCAGATATGATTGAAGGCCCAATCTAGAGCCTGAAGTGAACCCCTTGGGACTTCCCAAACCTTTCCCCAGAACTGTTGCAATCCCAGTGAGGATAAACTTGTACCTCTTGGAACCTGGGAGACAGCATGAAGTAAATGGTATCAAGTGATACATAGTCTTTTTTTTTTTTTTGGTTCATTTTGGTTTTGAGATGGGGTCTCACTATGTTGCCCAGCCTAGATTCAAACTCCTGCGCTCAAGCAGTCCTCCCACTTCAGCGTCCCAAGTAGCTGGGACTACAGGCATGTGCCACCACACCTGACCACAGTCTTTTTTTGGGGGAATGGAGGGGGGTAGTGCACAGGGTCTCACTCTGTTATCCAGGCTGGAGTGCAGTGGTGTGATTATGGCTCACTGAAGCCTCAACCTTCTGGGCTCAAGCCATCCTCTCACCCAGCCTCCCAAGTAGCTGGGACTACAGGTGCTTGCCACTATGCTCAGCTAATTTTTTTTTTTTTTTTTTGTAGAGACAAGATCTCACGATGTTGCCCAGGCTGTAGCCTTAAGTAAAGTGTCTTCAAAGGCTCATTTTAGCTTTGTAATTTTATGAAAAGTTGATATTCTACTCCCTAAGAAATCCATCTTTGTCTTCAGATAAAGATTATTTTCCCAAGTCATCAAGTTGTGCCATGTTACCCAGCCTGTGGCTTGTGGTGTCTCTGACACAGCCTTGCATGATGCAGGGAGCCCCTGTGCCCTGTAGGAAGCACAGCGTGAAGGTGTTGTCCATAATATTGTACATGGGAAAGGTAACATTAGCATTCATGTGGATTCTTTCATCTAATTTCCTTTTTCACCCAGCAAAGTGCCCCGTGACTGAGAACGAGACAGAAGATGAGGGCGTCTGAGGATGAGAAGGAAGAGGAACCATCAGAGCCACCTGGGAGTGGAGGTCTGCTCAGGTCAGCCTGCTTCACCAAGGTGGCAGCCAGTGGGAACAGGAAGGATGAAGACATCGGACACATTTGGAGAAAGAAACCAAAGCTGGCATGAGCGGAGTCCTTTCCAACGCTGTTCAAGGCAACGGGATGCAAGCGGGTATGACTGTAGATGGTGTAAAGACTTACCATTCACTACTCCACACTCGTTGTGTACTTATTATGGGCGAGGTCTTGTGCCTAGCCCCAGAAATTCAGAGAGAGACAATTAATATCCACAGCCTAGTAAGAA